TTCTTGATTGGCAATGATGAGCTAGCTCTTGGACAGGTCTTTACACCCTTCAGAAATGAACACTCATTATGAGGCGATCCTTTGCCTCAGGCATGTATTTCTCTTTTTGAAATACAGAGATTTTTATGGCTTCACTGGCATCTGTGACGTGCTGTAACCTTGTCTTCCTGCTGTCAGAGTGCAGGGTCTTCTCCTGAGGAGTCACCTGGCCTGTGGCATGCAGACCTTCTGGCCTGGCAGGGAACAGCATGTGTTGTCACTGATCAATACAGGCTGGTCTTTTACCCTTTTTACCGGCATTTCTCTGGTGCTAATACACATGCATTTCCATTCATACTTCATTCATATCTATTTTCTGTTTCAAGTTTCAGCTTATCTGTGACCTCAAAGTATGGCAAAGAGACGGCCTGGACAATAGGGAACCACTGAGGACTTTTACCATTCTTAAACAATGTTCTATCCTCTTGTTAGGTTTCTTCATGGAACCCACTGTATTCACAGATGTTGAAGACCATATGTATATTGCCCAGGAAGAGTCCTTTGGTCCTGTGATGGTGATTTCTAAATTTAAAAACGGGTATGCTCTCCACTTGTCACTGTTAGAAACGTTATTTTCCTGTTTCCCCTCTTAAGTGAAGTGATAGCATACACAGTATTTTGTTAAATCTTGTTAGACCAATCTGAATGCCTAGATCCTCTTCCAGCTAAATTCTGAGAAAATACCTTTTTTTAATAAGGGGTATCCTGCTCCGTGTCAATACAGAACTAATGCTGTTGGCAACGTGTGACAGGATAGAATGCAACCCTAAGTGTCAGTTCTTAAACAAGACTTAGTATTTAGGGAAGTGTTTTACTGAAGTTGATGTGGTAATTGCAACAGCTTGATCAAATTACAAAATATTTATTTTTCCCAGTGGAACTGCTGATTTTTTCAGTCACAAAAGACCACTTAGTGTTGTTGTGCATTGTGTAGCACTGGCATGTTATTGTTGCAAATGAAAATTCCTCTGTATGTTTTGTAAACTGCCAGTTTTAATATCTTTCATTCCAGATCATAAGAATTATTTTACTCACAGATGAGATTAAAACCCTACATAGAAACTTCATATAAGTATTTCCACCACGTTTCATTTTCTGTAGTTTGATAATGCACTTAAGAACCAGCCACACAGATAACCCTTCACATCCATGAATTATGTACAGTAATAAGGAACTGTATTGAATTTTTTAAAGTTTTAAATTATTATGGATTTTTGAAGCTATATGGAGATGAGATGCAAATAGAAGAAAAGCACTCTGGAAATGGCCTGAAAAGTGTCTTGATAGAAGTTTGAATTTCAGCATTTATTCTCCAATAACTTGTAAAGCTGGCCAAAATTTTAGCAAACTGATTCATCATCTACTGCCAAGTTCTGCTTTACAAGTATTTTTCTATTGCTTTAATCCCCAAGCTGTACAGTAGCTGAGCGAAGTTGCTATGCGTACACCAACATTTCCTGTGGCATTTCTCAGTGTAGGTATTAACCATCGAAATGGATGGTCACAAGCCTCTCAAGTTTGAAGCAAGGGTGTGAATTTCCATGGATCTGTCTGACACACAGATTCATCCTTAAAAAGTTGTCTTTAAAAAGGCTCCTTGGAGAAGGCAGGCCATGGGAAAAGGTGCTTCAGTGACACTGAAGGTGGAAGGTGGCTAACACTTATTTATTTTACCTCGATGCAATTACCTAAATTTATCTATTACTTAGATAATTTCTTTCCTCCACAGGGACGTCGATGGAGTATTGCGACGGGCAAATGCCACAGAATATGGCTTAGCTTCAGGAGTTTTCACAAAAGACATAAGCAAAGCTCTCTACATCAGCGAAAAGCTGGAAGCTGGAACAGTTTTTATTAACACATATAACAAAACCGATGTGGCAGCACCATTTGGTGGATTTAAGCTGTCTGGCTTTGGGAAAGATTTAGGTAAGTTGTTCTCTCCCTCTCTTATTTCTCATCTGAGAGACCTAATCAATGAAAAAATCACTTTGCCTGTGTACAGGGTATCTAGTAAAACGTGAGCCATGGATGCATTTCCTGCATCTCCTACATTCCTCCAATTACAGTAATCTAGTTCCTCTCCCTTCCCTCAATATTCCCACCTCAATAGCTCCCACTCAGCCCTTCCTGTACATTTGCTAAATAATGCTATAGCACACAGAATATTCCCCTCCAACTCCCCTCAGAGCACTCAAATTGCAACCTGTCCAGAGGTGCCTACAGGCTACAAAATGCTGTCAAGTAACAAAGATACTGGCCAAAATCTTTTTTCCCCTCAGAAAGAACACTAATTTAGGTTTCTCCTCTAAACTTTTAAGAGCAGGGGAAACTTTTTTACGCCTTAAAATGTCACCAAAATTTGCCAATAGCCACAGAGAAAGATGCATTAAAAGTATTTTCTTTACAAAATGAGTTTTTAAAAAAGTGAAGTCTACCCCATCAAAGACACTTTACAAGTCTGGACAGATCAATTCTCAGGACAAAGAGAAAAGGAAAAACAAATTTCGCTGACACAATAGATTTTTGCTTTTGGAATCTCCAAAGACATTTCCTGAAACTGAGTGACGGTATCAGAGAAAAAAAATAAAGATTACTGATTTTTACACAGCTTCTCTATACCTATAAACGTTAATACAGGCAAAGCAAAGTTCATAAATTCATCTATGAGCTCTTGGTGGCCATCTAAAAACTGCTGCTGCTCCAGTCCCACCTGGAGGGCTGCTTGTTAAATTCCAGCTCCTTTTTCTTTCTACATCTGTTGGGTTTGGCCTCTTGTGAAAACAGTTCTGTAAATCTCAGTGGGAAGGTAATTAGTTCCTGTTGTTCCTTAAGGACTCAAATATTGGCTACAGCATTTTAAATTTTTTTCGTAATAGTAATTACAGCCTGACAACATTCTCTCATTTAGCTGCTATTCTAACAGGGGAATATTTTGCTTGTACAGGTGAAGAAGCTCTTCATGAATATCTCAGAACCAAGGCTATCACTGTGGAATATTAAAGTAACAGCTTCACTTGGGAAGTAAACTTGCAGCAGAGTTTGAATCTCGATGACTACATGAAGCACTCAACACCACGCCTAGGATATGCTGTCTGCAATGCTACAACGAAACAAACAAAACAAAACAAAACAAAACACTCATTCCATGGATAAGTTTCTATAAATCAAGTCCAAACTTTAGTCTCACTGACAGGCTTTTGGAAATTACCCTGAAATTATTTAAATTATGCAGCAGCAACAGTTGGTAGCACAATTTCCCCCCCCCCCCAAAAAAAAATCCCCAAGAACATGGTTCAGTTTATTTTTTTAAATAGAACTGAAGAATGAGTTCTCACATGCCTACTTTGTATTTCTGTGACATAATATTTACATGGCCATTTTAAATCATCAGTATTAGGCTTGAACTAAAATATACTGATTATGCCATTTTTGCTATAAACCAGTTGAAGTTTTACAGTAGCAATTAAACACTCTGCTCTGGTGACTCTTCAGCAGTACAAAACCTTTGTGCCATAAGTAAATCAATGCAAGGAAGTGCACTTACTATGATCTTTGTATAGTACATACAGAGTTCAACATTGGTGTTAACTATGCATATCAAGCTAAAGTTACTGGAAATATTTTCTACCTTTTTGTTGATACAGAATGTGTGATCTGCCTGCAATTTGAAAGGTGGTTACATTAACAGATTAAAATCACTTTTTGTGTCTGTGCACATGGACTGTTATCACTGTTTCATACAGCATGATTATTATTTTTTATTTCATACTTTTGGGGTTTTTTTTAATGTGTGGGAAAATCCCCTGTAAAATTACCAAGGTAAGATGTTGGCTTTAAAACTTTTTTTCAGTTGGAAGAAAATTTTCTGTACATTGAGATCTTATCTAACAAACTATGCCTACTAAGACTACTTGCTCTTAGAATGCAACAGCCCACAAAGCTTCATCTGATCTGTGTGCTGCCATTAAAGGTAGCAGTCTGATTCTTTGATTCCCATCCTTCCCCTTTGCTAAAATATTCTGTGGTTTAATCATTTAATCCCAGTAAATCGTGTGTCCTTTCTGTGTTTAAGCCACATTGTGAAAGGAAGATCAGAATCCTTGTTGTTTCTTATCACAAGTATTTCAGAAACAGATACTAAAAGTGGAGCTTTAAGTATGGGATTAAAACTAAATTCTGTAAATAACAGCAGGCTTCAATTCACAACATTAAAGTTTAATATTTGAGCAAATACAGTATAGAAAATTTTACTTTAATGGTGTAGAAAATACAAAGTTTCTTTAAGAAACAATGACATCCAGCATGACAGACACTTCTGAAATGCAAACCAATCTATGAAGTAAATAAAACAGCCCAAATCATTGTATTTGATGAACCTGAGGTAAGTATGAACGAGACTCACTGATTCTAGTTTCACAACTGTTTCAAGCTAACCTAAGTACTGAAAATTCACCTTTTTATCCCTCTGACAGTGACAGTTGTTAACAAAATGGAGAGAATGGAAAGTGGGAGATGAAAAGTTTAACTTAAAGCAATTGTAACAGCCCAGAGGAACAGTGGACCATTTGAATATGGAGGTTATTTGCACAGCCACGAATGTTTCACATATGAGCTTGCAACAAAGGTGCACAGCTCAGTGCAGGCACAGAGGGTACGTAATCCTCTGCCATGGCTCAGCTTGAAAGGGCCTCAGCCACTGCTCTAGTGTTCAGCAGTCATTGTCATGAATGCAATGTAGACATACCTCTGAGGTACTTTAAGATAATATTTAATATGGAAGACATTGTACATAGCACTTCACAGGACAGGGCATATAAAAACGAAGTTTTTTTCCTATTTAACTCTTTCTTGCCCTTTAGGTAAAAATGTCTATCATACTATAGAAGAAGCCCTTTCCAACAAAGCAACAGAAAAAGAATTTTAACTTAATTTGTTCAAGCAATCCTTATTCAAGCTGCTTTCTCAGTCTAATCTACTAGGAAGTCCATTTCCATGTTTTTGGATGAATCAATTCCTACTTGAATCTTCAGAAACCCAGCCTCCCTCAGTCTTGAGTTGATCCTGAGTTCTCCATCATGTAAATTAGAGCATTTCACAAGATCCTGAGAGATGCTACACTTGGAAACAAAGTAGTTTTACGGGCCACATCTTCAAAGTGAGAATACACGAGTTGGTTTGGTTGGGGTTTTTAAAAGTAAAATAAAATGGATCTACTAATTCACTTTGCTGTCCAAAATTTCTATTTTGCCCTTTTCTCCCTTTTGTTTAGGAAACTTAATGTTGTCTATTGTCACTTCATCAGTTACAGAGTCATCTTCAGATTCTGAGTCATCTTCTGAAGTTAGCATCTCATCTGTATCAGAATCACTCAGTTCAACTACAGCCACATTCTGGGAAAAAAAAAAAAAAAGACCTTGGTTAACACATTATACATTTCTATACCACTTCTATCATTGGAGTAAAACATAAAGCAAACACATGAAACATCCTACTACCATAAGAAAACCACAACCACAATATGAAAGACTTCTGGGTCTTCCTAGGATTATGACAAATATCATGAAGAGATGCCTAAATATTTATATTGTCATTTATCTTGCCCTATAGCAAATATAAGGCCTGAATCCAACCAGTGGCCAGTAAATCCTTCTGACAGCTCACACACCGAACCCCAGGCTGCCTTATCTCTGCATTTTACCCTTGTGGGTCTTCAGGCCAGAAGGCACTTGGCTGGGTCACGCACATATCTCCTTCATATTAAAATCTTATATAAGCATGTGGTTGCAGCACTTTGGTTAAAACCAGAAAGAAAATGTTGATGTGACTGTAAATAAATAGACAAATACCAGCAACAGAGGATCACAACAACACTAACAACTTTTCTAAACTCAAGATCTATAGTCAGTCCTACAAACACTGACAGAGCACAGCTTAAAGCCAATTATTGCTCTTACACTGAAGCCTTGTTATGCCTTACTAGTCCTTATATTGCCCAGTTTCTAAACCAAGTTTTCCTATGAGACATTTAAAATAGAATTTGTGACTTCTGATTTAGAGTTGCTGATTCAAAAGTACATCTTACTCTGGTCTTAAACTACTCCATCCCCAGTCATTCAATTCTGCAAGTTTGAAAACCAAGTTGTAAGTATCAACCAAATAAACATTTTTAATGTATCTATGTTCTGAATTAGCAGATCACAAACGAAAATGGTAAAGACTTCACCTTTTCTATCATATTAGGTCATTCTAAGATCAGAGAGTTAATCACATCTAAATTTACTTCATAAAATAAAAACATAGTAAGTACTTACCATTTCTATAACTTTTTCTGTTGCACTGTCTAGATGTTCAATATCAAACTGATGAGCTGGTGCTGTTATCATTTTTCTTTCGAGGTCATCATTTGCCTGGGCCATCTGTGGTAAAAAGCTCTGCACTCGGTCCAAAACTGAAAAGAAACAATTATGACATATATATAAATATTTTCAAAGAGATGCATAGCAGTTTTCACATTAATACCTCAGAAATCTGAGCCTCTAAACAGATTCCATTTCAACCGTAATTTCCAGCTGTCTACAATATTTAAGATGTCTTAATAGAAGAATTTATTAAAGTATTCAATTTTCCAAGACATAAACAGCAAAAATATTTCGGATCTATTGGTCAGCATTTGATGCAGGAAGAAGTCACTTGAACAATTCCACTTGGATTCTTAAAACAAAATGTGACTACTTTACAGAAAACTTGCTTGCAAATTCCATTGTTTAAAATACATATTGAGTGCCATCCCAAAGAACTTCCATATCATAATTATCTCCAATGAAAATATAATTACATCCTCTTTTCTTCCCTGTTAAAGTATAGGCTGAAGGTCTCAAAGAAGATGGAAAAATTAGCTGTAGCACAGATGCCATGCTAGACTAATGAAAGATCAACATAATTAACAAAAAGAACTCTGAAATGAAGATGGTGGGACAGAGACATGCTCTAGGTTGAAGCACGAAGCCCTTACTCTCTACAGAATTATCCCTCTAAGCTCAGTGGGACTTGCCAAGAATTTTAAGGTTATCAGTGTCATTAGGAGAATCACACTCATTTCCCTTTCATGGAGGAAAACCTGCCTCAGAGACTCTTGAAATAAACTTTGCTGCACACATGCAGGTGAGCCAATCACTAGTTCTCTTTCTCTGAGAAGATGTACTATTCCAGGTGAGCTCCACAAAAGAGTCTAACAGGTATAATGTACCTCTGAAACATTGTCATCTTTGTAGAGACTTTTATCCAAGAAAGAATTTGATCTAACAATTTTTTTTTGCTATTACTTTTTAAATTTCAGCTCAATCACAACACAAAAATACAGTAATTTGCCAGAAGTCCATTTTAAACTAAACGCTTTTATACAACAGATATATCATATTGAGAAAGTACTTCTAAAAAGAAGTAAGAAGCCCAGATCAGAAAAAAAAAAAAACAAAAAAGCAATAACCTTATACTGAAAAAGAATAATCTGTCCCTAAAACTTACAGCTGGAATGCTGCAATTTACATCTAAGTTACATGATTAACCTGCAGGACATGGAATTGCAGTGGAGGACCTAACACCAGTAGAAACTGAACACAAGAGTTTCTCCCTTTACCTACGCAAGGAAAGCACTAAAGCAAAGGTTATGTCACATATGTTACCTACTCTTGAGACTGTTCCAGTAGCAAGTTCCTACTTACCACTGCTCCTTGGCATCCTGACCGTCTGTAAAGTCGTGGCCTTCTTGCTGCTACATTTTGAATCGATCAGCAAAATGTTTTCCAGCCCTGCAAACAAACAAACATACATTACAGTGCTTAAGCTGACAAGTTCTCTGTAATTGTCATCTGCTAATGCAGCTCTTGGAAGAAAGAATACCGGGCTACATGGGCCGCTGGCCTGGCCCCGCAGGCCACTTCTTACAGACTCACGCTGTATTTGAAGTATAAACCCAAGGTTTATTCAGAGTTATAATGCATTGAAAACCTACCTGTAACACCCCACAGCAAAGCACAGTGAGATAAGAGCTAAGGCGCGCTAGTCACACTGATTTAAATCCCTGTGTGACGAGAAGGAGCCCCCAGGAGCGGTGCCAAGGCCCTACACTGACCGTGGGCAGGAGCAGCGTCGCGGAACCCACGCCATGCAGGCAAACTCAGCGTTAATTACACGGGCTAATTAACCCCCACGGCCGCCAACAGAGCCGTCCGCCCGCTATCGCTAACTAAAGCGAAGCTTTCTGCCTTTTAACAAGCACTGAGGGTTTTTTGATTCTCATACAAACGTCGTTACGAATGTCGGTATTAATTTAACGCGGATTCCCCCTCCCCTCCGTTATCACCGCAGCCGAGCCCGGGAAAGCAGCAGCTCCTCAAAACACGAGGGCCCAGTGGCGCCCCAGCGGCCAGGCGGCCTGGCGAGCCCCCTGCCTCGGGCTGCCCGCGATCCGAACCCCCGCTCCCCGCCCTCACCTGCCCGCCGTCCCACGTCCAGCAGCTCCCGGGACGCTCCCGGTGCCCCCGCTCCGCCGGTCCCCGCCATGTGCCCTCCGCCAAGGAAGTGGCTGCGGCCGCTCCGCTCCGCCGCGGCGCGGGCAGCGCCCCTGCAGGCCGGGAGGGGCATGGCGGCGGGGAACGGCGCGGCAAGGGAAATCAATCACCTCGCAAAGAAAAGACAAACAAACAAACAAACAAACGAAAAACAAACAAACAAACCAAACAAACCCCCTAACTATTCAACCCCCAACGATTCAAACCTTCTGAAATGCAACCAAGGGCCCTGCACCTGGAGGGGGAATGACCCCAGGCACCAGCACAGGCTGGGAGCCAACCTGCTGGAAAGCTGCTCTGAGGAGAAGGACCCGAGAGCCCCGGTGGACAAAAGGCTGTCCATGAGCCAGCAGTGTGTCCTTGTGGCCAGGAAGGTCAATAGTGTCCTGCGGTGCATTAGGAAGAGCACTGCCAGCAGGTCGAGGGAGGTGATCCTGCCCTTCTACTCAGCCCCGCTGAGGCACATCAGGAGTGCTGTGTCCAGTTTTGGGCTTCTCAGGTCAAGAGACACATGGAGCTCCTGGAGTGGGTCAAGTGGAGGGATACAAAGATGATTAAGGGACTGAAGCATCTCTTTTATGAGGAGAGACTGCGCCTGTTCAGTCTTGAGAACAGATGGCTGAGAGGGAACCTCATTATAGTATATAAATATGCAAAGGTGGGGTGCCAAGAGGATGGGGCCAGGCTTTTCTCAGTGGTGCCAAGCAAGAGGAAAAGAGGCAATGGGCAAAAACACAGCAAGTTCCACTGGAATGTAAGTAAGAACTTCTTTACTGTGTAGATGACAGAGCACTGGAACAGGTTGTCCAGAGAGGTTGTGGGGTCTCCCTCACTGGGGATATTCAAGAACCATCTGGACACAATGCTGTGCCACGTTCTCTGTGACAACTCTATTTAAGCAGGGAGGCTGGACCAGATGACTGATTCTGTGATTCTGTGATTTGGCACTAAAAAGCGTCCATCCCATCACCTGGAAGAGCCATGAGCGTGTGAAAACAAGCTGCCAGCAGGTAGCGTCACCTGAATGTCTGCCAGTAGCTGCTTGCCTCTAAAAACTCTCACATTTTCATTGTCAGAATTTGACAAATGCATCTAAAATTAAATTTCAGAGCCTGAGGGAGTTTTAATCATCTTGTGGAAAAGAAACTTACACAACCACCTAGTTCAGATGACACTGGCCCACCTGTTTTTCAGGATTTGTTCTGCAGTTTCTTTCCTTAACTGTTTATACTCGTGACAATGTGAAAACTGTAAAAAGAGAACTGAATGGTTCATAAGAAACGAGATGGGAACTCTAAGCCAAAAGCGAGAATAAGTGGCAATCAGTAAGTGGTATTTATAGGTCTCCATTGCAAAGAACACAGGGAAAAAACAAAACAAAACAAAACAAAACAAAAAACAGACCAACAAAACCCCAACAAACCACCCAGATCCCAGTACCTTGGCATTAAGAATCAAAAGGAGTAAAAGGCAAACCTTCTGCAAGGCCTCAAGCAAGAGATCACCCTGCTGTTTCCTTGACAGACTGGCCCAAACAAGTGTCCTCTGCCACTTCCCCAGCACCAGTGCATTCCATTGAATTTGCTACTTGTTTTGCACCTTTCCACCCAACTGCACTCCAGAATTTCCATTTCCAGAAAAATCTCATTGCTAGCTTTGATGACTGAAAAATCATGAGAATGTAGTTTTTTGCCTTGGGCCTCAAGTGAGTCTTTCTGAATTTGTACACATCGCAAAATAATAGTGTGGGAACCTCAAATACTATATTTCATCCTTGGGTATTATGTGATTTCAGTGGAGGGAGGGGCATAATGCTGTCAAGGAACCTGTAGTAGGGAACAATGAAATAATTGCCCAAGATCACCAGACGTGCAATTAGAAAAGCCATAAATAGCAGCCTCGGGTGTTATTTTCAAACCTGAGTTTATAGTCTAACCTGCTGGCAACAGAGGCAGATGTGATCATTATCTGATTTGCAAGGTGGCCCAACTAAGTATCCACACTGTGTAACATGTGAGCACACACAAGGCAGGGATATATATATGGTTACTACCAGGTCAGGGAAACAATTGGATCTGTAGCCCAAATTCCCAATACATTCAGGGTTGAGATAGCTGAATTAAAAGCTCTGAGGTTTGGGCTGCTTCATTCATTTAATGTAGTATCGACTCAAGAGTTCAAGCTGATGCCACATTATTTCACTCTTGTAGCACAGATTGTTTTGGCCCCAGTCCTGGAAATACATTTTCCTGTGCTTAAGTTTCTGCTTTGCCACGCATCTCCACCACAGCTAGCGCCAGTTTATGTCAGACACTTGGTGACTTGCCCATGCTGTCTTTTGTTCTGTCTGTAGAAAGGAAGACGGATGCTGTAGGCTTGGCTGCTGTCACCATCATTAAATCCCAGTTCTCTTTTCTTCCTTTCTCTTCCCTTTCAACTCCCACTTAAGGCATCCTCACTGTTTCAAGTTGTTGAGGAACAATCGAGGAATAATACAAGTAACGATAACAAATGCACAAATTTAGCTGGCTTGACTGTTTCAACGCATTAATATAAAGTGTGTCTCAAAACAGGGGCCCAGAACGGCCTTGGCTTCGTACTTAGCAAGGGAGTTTCCTTGAGGACTTACATGTTGTGTGCAGGGTATACAGTCTAGCTGGGCAAGAACAAGGATTCCAACCGACCCACACACTTAAAAAATGGGATTCCTGAGGAAGCTGCTTTTAGCCAACTGGCAGGAAAGAGCCACAATGTCCGGGTGGCTGACAATCTGGAGTCAGTGCGAAACAGCGACTCTTGTGCTACGTCGCCAAGAAAGGTACTGCGAGTGGAAGCAAAGGCATCGCCACCGCCGGCCCCGCCCGGGGAGCGCCCCAGAGCCCCGCTCCCCAGCCCTTTGCTCCCCGCGGCTGCGGGGCGCACCGGCCGGGCCCTCGCCGAGGGAGGGGAGCGAGGATGGAGCAGCAGGACCCAGCTACCACCGAGGGGACCCGGAGGGAGCAGCGATGAGGGTGGGGTGACACGGGCCGGGGCTCGCCCCGCGGTGCTGGGCTGTGAGCGACTGCAGCCACCGCGCCCCGTCCCGTCCCCTCCTCTCCTTAGCCGCGCCCGGCTCCTCCCCAGCCCCGCCGGGTCCGGCGGCGGCTGCCGCGCATCACGGGCCACATCATCGCGGGGGCCGCCCGCCCTCCGGCCGCTTCCGCGCCTGCTCAGTGGCGGCGGCGCTCACCGCTCACCTCAGCCGGAGCTGTCACCGCCGCCGGGCTGGTCCCTCACGCCGCAGCGATGGAGCGCGGCCCCGGCGCGCCGCCGGCACCGCACCCGCCCAGGTGAGGGGAGGGCGCGGCTCCAGGGGGCGGCGGGACGAGCGCCAGCGAGGGCAGAGGGGCCGGGCGGGCCGGCGACCTTCCGCCCCGGGGGCGAGGGAGGCGGCGGGGGCCGGGGGCGGGAAAGTTTCCTGGCGAGTGGCGGAGCAGCCCCGCGCCCCCGGAGCTCCGCGCCGGCCCGCCGGGGTGCCGCGGTGCCCAGGGGCTGTGAGGCACTCGGGGCCACCCGCCCGCCTCCCTCCCGCCCTCCTCCCCCGCGCGGTGCCGGCAGTCCCCGGGTGCGGCGGGGGTCGCACCCCTCCCCATTCTGCGGGCCCCGAGCCGCCCCCTTCCCCCGCAGCCTCCCCCCGCAGCCTCCCTCCGCGCACTCCGCTCCCCCGCGCCCCGCAGCCGCTCGCCGGCCTGCCCGGGGTCCCGACCCGGACCGCGGATGCTGCGGGCGTTTGCCCCGGTACCCTGCGCTCCTCAGAGCCCGGAGCGCGTTTCATCATGTGCGCGTAATTATGCACTGCTCCAGGTAACCCGGACAATGAGCCTTTTCTTTGGTTTCTCTGTGCGTGCACAAGATCTGCGCAGCATTCCCAGTGGCCCCTATTCCCTGGCACTCTCTACATCCGTATGTGCAGGCAGTTCTGCTCCCACCTTTGCACCCATAAAAACATGCCAGACTCTGTCACCGCGGTTGCAGTTGCTAGACGAGCATGGAACCTCTACCCGAACAGCACACGGACAGACTTCAACCATCATCTCTTCTTGTTTACAAGCATTTAACATGTCATGGTGCATTTATTCTCTTTCCATACTTTTCTGCCAGAATGTAGGAGCTTCTTGTGATTTACTTTACTTTCTACCCTCTCGTTATTTCTCAATTAAGTTCGTTGTAGCTCTTTCTTTAATTTCAGGGAATGTTACAATTTCTGCTTCCCCGATCCCACTGTCCAGGATACAGTTGTGTGTCTTCTTCACTTAACATCTGATCCTAGGTTAGAGACCACATTGTAATAAGTGGATCATATAAAATTAAAGAACTGTTTAGTCCTTAGGAAGAGTCCTAGCAGTGTCTAGTAGACATCCCTAGTTATCCTCACTTTACCAGTCCAGGAATGCAGGTGAAAAGATGAAAGCAGGTAGGACGACCTGTTTTGGCAGCATTCCCTACATCTGCTGCCCTGAAGAGATTGTGAAACTGGATCCATAAATACTGCAGTATGACTGGTAGACGCTTCAGAGGGAAAAATAGCAGTGTATCATTTTCTTTTCAAATTCTTCTAGGATATTATCCACAAAAAACAATGTGAAGTCTACATCCTAGTGCCTGAGTTAATAAGGAATTAATCTTTCCTTGGTGATGACAGTAGAAAACTGTAATCAGGATCCCAAATAGTACAGTTAGGAGTCATCCTGGTAGGTACTTACTGGTTATTTAATCTAGAGGACTGCATTTATCTTTTATATTTCATACTTTTCCTACCTGCTTTTGATGGGCTGCAGGATGTGATTTGCCTGGTATTTTTCATGTTGGTATTCTATTTGGGTGACTTTACAACCTGACCACATTTCATAGCCTTGCTACCTCGTTTCTGGCTCTGTTTTGATCTCTTCTAAATGAGTTTCCTTAAAAGTGCAGAGGCAAACCAAATCTTCTCACAACCTCTTTTCTCTTCCTTGGGGCCAAAATTGAAAGCTGC